CTTTGTTGGGGATTGCACGAAAGACAAGGTTGTCAGCCATATATCAGTTTCCGGTCCCGTGACATCTTCACTAAGTATCAGTTCCGTCATCAACCGCAGGGCGTCAACACTTCCGGTCACTGGCATGGCGTCCAAGAAGAACTTTCTATAAAATTGGAATTGGCAAATCGTTTAATATTTTTGGTAAATTGATATATATATATGGATTGTCTTTTTCATTCATTCAAATTTTATATTGGTAAATTGATCTGGTTTTCTTTTAGATTCTTCCGAATTTGAAATTGGTTGATTAATATGGTTTGTCTTTTTCATTCTTTAAATTAGCGTTATGTGATTCCTTTCATTGCATATGCTTTTATACAATTAACACTGTACATTAAATAGTGGGTTGAACACAGCCTGAAAGGCGTAGTTAAAAGTAAGTTTACAGTATATCTAATTAATCAATAACCTCATCATAAGTAAATATAATGCAATATGTATACCTTGTGCGCGAAGGTTCCCCACAAATATGACCGTCATTTAATCGGCGATGCACTTCTCTTAATGATTGTGTATCGAGAGTTTTTATTATATCGACGAGTTGTGAGAACAGTGCAGTGGACTCTGGACGTATATCCCTGCGAGTATTTTCACATATTTTCTGTAAAACGGTCTCGAGATCGTTAACCGTCACATTAGGTTTCATAATGCCATCCTGGTGTTCAAACAGCAATCCTCGGTAATTTGTGAAAGTACCTAATTGTCAAAAAAGATGACATAAAGAAAAAGAATGTCCGGTGTAATATCAACATTATTTAAACAGATATAAATATATTGTTCTTGGGGTATTTTGATAACAGAAAGAATAATTAATCTAGTTTGCAATATTACGCATCTATATCTTTCTATTGTCATTCTTGGTACAATTAATCAGTTTACCTAATGACATGGTATAACATTATGATGTACAAGAGGCGTTACGAATAACTACTAAACTATATATTTTGTATTAATTATGGTTACTTTGATCCTGTATTGCCGATACATTGGAAATTCATTTATCTTAATGTTCATTGAAATTGACATCTTTTAGAAGATGAAAGAATTTCGATGCACATTGGCGAGTGATTTCATTTTTTTCAAATAGAGGTTTTCGATACAATTTAATGGGGAAAATTGTGTCAATTGTATGCACACATTTATTGAAGAGAAATCAAATAAAGATTATCATAAAACAACATGTGTGTAGCGTCCTGTCAGATCTGAAGTTACTCTGCTTAACGTTTAAGGGATAAAAGACTAAATGACTTTACAATATGTATATAATTATGTAGTTTAGAAATTCCCACCCGAGGGAACAGAATTTCGGGCCGAGGATTTTGTATCGAAATTATGTACCAAGGGTACGTTGTAAAATTATCTTTATCGCTGGACAGAGTCCATCACCGAATTGACTTTATTAAGACGGCAAGAAATGTAGATAAAATAAATTGCAATGGAACATATGTAGGATAGAATATTCTAACCGAGGGTACAGAATTTGGGGCAAAAGCCAAGGCTTAAAACCAAATTATGTAAGGGTTGTATATTTCTATTATATTTTTAGTACATCGCATTCCAAGGTGTTTTTTAAAAGTTCTGAATTTCTGAACCGATTTTAAACATATATATATGAGCCCTTATTTCTTTTGGCTCATTTATAGAACCATACAATTTGAACAGTGCAGCACAGTTACTATAAGACTGAACCCAGATCTTTTCTTTTGTTTTGTTTTGTATTTTGCCTTTAATTCGCGGGGATTCTGCTTTCTTTTGCTTCATCACTGACACCAGTCTTTAAACCGATGTCGAATCCACGTTTCTACACCGACAACTTATTTAGTGACAACAAAACAGCGAGACAAAGTCAAACATATAGAGATGGACCGTTAGGATCACCTTGGCGTACACCTATAAACGTGTCAATTAATTTAGAAATTAAATGAGACTTACCAGTAAGTTGAAAAGCACGTCAGTAAATATATTGACAAACAATCAATTGTAACTTTTGTCACCGTTTACAACAAGATATACTTTGTCAGTTATCAAAATTATCTAATAAATCTGATGATTTTTTTTCAGGGCGAAATTTTCCGTTCCTGTCAAGCTAGAAGATACGTTTGCTAATGATGGAAGATGCGCGCGCACCGCTCACGTACCTTTCAGTAGTGAAACAGAATTAGAGGCTACGGTGACTATGTTTGATGTTTGATGCATCGTCTTCAAATGCAATATCCTTGCATAGTTTCATTGGGATCTGAGAAAATGTCCAAAACCTTTTTTGGCAGAACAAAAAGACTAAACAATACTAATGATAAGAAGAAACGCAGCAAAAACAGTAAGATTAAAATTTGTATACAAGCCCAGTACCGTGTGTTGCAGCTGTTGTTGGTGTGGTTTCCTGTACGAACTCCAGTGTCTGTGTTATCTCCGTAACAGCTCCACTCCCCTCACGAGAGAAAGGTTTAAATAGGTGGGTTTCCACGCACCTAGCAAAATTCAGCAGCCCATCAGTCGAGATGTCTTGCTGACATTGGTGGTTGCAACTCATTAGTGGTAAGGATTGGAAATCCTATATAACATTAAACAAAAGTACAAAACATATGTTTGAATTGTGTGATTGTTTTCTAAATCAATATTATTTTGAAAATCGAAGTGCTTAGTTCCTCTATATTCAACTAAACAATATACAATATTTCGCCTTTTGTTTCAGCTGTGTCTCCTCATTTTTCTATGCAGGGATTGGTTGATCCAGATGCGAAGCTGGAATTTCCTGATGACCTAGTTAAAATAAGCTTCTCTGTTATGGCTTACTGAAGCATTGAAGTGGGGAACCCTGCTATGTAAATATGCATCAATAAACAAAAGCAAACACCTCGTCGCAAATGACTTGTTCCACTTTACATAATCATTGTTGACTATGTCCAGCTATTTTACCAATAGGTGAGGGAAATGTTTTAGATGCATGTGTGACAACTCTTCGATCGGCGAAAGAAACAAAAATGGAAGAATTTAAAAAAAATGAAAATTGGTGAGATATAAATTGTAATCTTATTACAAATTACCAAAACTTACCGAACTAGCGCCGTACGGAACTCCGTGTATTGCGGTGCGGAAACCATGACGACCAGTACAACTGTGAAGGTCCTTTGTCTTCCTCACCACGTGACCACTTTGTTTTGACATCGTTGTGTATTCTGTGTCACATGTACCGGTTACGTCAGTCTGATAAAAACAGGTGACTGTATAAGATATTGATATTTATTTACAACAAGTTGGATACTATATAACGTTGAGTTTTATTGGGTGCTCTAGTTCGTGTTCTATTGTTCTATAGTGCTTTTGTTCAAACAAATGTTAGCGATCAGCAGTTGTAACTAAACATGCGAACAGGTTTGAGTTCCAAAAACCCACGAATATACTCATGAGTTTCGCGTTATACAGTAAAAGAATTATGTATTTTACGGGTATTTCAGTGGTATATCATGAAACATGCCACTACTCAAAAGGGATGACTTTTGCCATCATGGTTACGGCAAACCTCGGAGATTAAAAAATCCACGAGCAGACTTGAGAGTCTACATGTATATAGCTACCACCTTGTATCTTGAAAACTGCTTCTTTAAATGTTGGTAATATACAGTAAACCAAAAATGAATTACACTGCATCACACAGCTGTTTCGTCCTTCTAGGACTCATCTTTGTTGCTGGGGACAAAAAGGTTTGAAATCCAACTAGTATAAACTACTGTTGAAACAGAGCAGCAGGTTAAAAACACCTCAGATATAAATTCAAATTTTTAGAGGAGTACTGGTAAAAATATAAATGGCAGTCATGTGTCAACAAAGTGTGTGAAATTTATGTAGACTTACAGAGATATGATATTAAAATAATTCATTGAAAAAAACAACAACAGAAAGACAAAATATTTATATAACAATGTAGTGTAAAATCAAATAATGACAGAATACATATCGCTTAAACTAGATTGGTGTTGCTCCCTATATGCATTTTTTTCTTTTTAAATTTTCTAACTTATCACAAAAAAAAATAAAAAATAAACCAAAAACAAGACACGAATAGCATAAAATAATGTTTGACATCATGCAATTATAATGATCTATTTGCTTTCCTGTTCTTCAAGGTTTTCTTTAATTCTTTTTCAGTAACGGTAATGACAATGGATGCACATGCATTGGAATTTTACACATACAATTCCTTTTTTACCTCTTTCAAACGCTTTTCCTGGTTGAAATTACCCATGCTGTTCTGAAAGACTGACAAAATACCACGTTTCACATTCAAAGTCCATATTGCTTCGTCGGGAGATGCACAAACTCTGTCGATGATGCCGTCTTGAAACGAAAACTTCAGGGCGTGTTGCTCCAAGTTCCGTTGAAAACGTTCACTCCCAGCAGACAACACATTTTCGCTGCTCGAATTCGTGTTTATTTCATACAACTGAGTATTGTCAACCTACAAACCAAAGTAAAATTACAATTACAGAGACAGTCAATAGTTTTCCATCATGGGCGAGACAGTAATAAAGAGTGAGTGAAGGTAAGAAGGACATTGCTTTTATGTATTTTAAGGTTGAGCACTGACAAGAGCACGAAGACCAAAGATACCAGATGGAGAGATAGAAATAGAGGGAATGGAGAAGTTAAATGAATAGAGGACGCATCAGATGGAGAGATTGGGGTGAGGTGAGGACAGTGCGAAAAGTCGGGTTGAAATGGAAAAGTTGAGACAGGGCCTTATGTGACAAAAAGCATGAAGAAGATGAGGTAAGGTTGTTCATTTTATAGTACAAGTATTATGTCAATCAGGCTTCAATCTAACAGACCTAATTTACACATGCGTTCGTGAATATTAAAGAAATGTTTACACAATATTTACCTTAAGAATAAAATCACATTTTGATATAGCCTCCACGTGCACTGTAGCGGTCACTTCCAGGCTGGACAATCCTTCTGACGGCCCTTTCACCCCCGTAGATGTCTTAATATTGTATTCAAACTCATAAGCGATCCCAGGGCGGTAGCCAAACTTATGTGATCCTATCATCAGCAAAGAGATTATGAGCTGTACAATAATCAACATGGTTAGCAATATCCTTTTCAAAAAGTCTACTTTCAGAATTGAATAACTCAAATACTGTAAAAAGTACACATTTTCGCGATTTGGGATATTTGCGTTTCGAGTTGAGTAAATTAGCGCGAAAATATCCACATGCGTACATTTATTTAAAGATTGTAATAGAGTAATTGATTTCAAAACGATTGCCAAAGCGAAAATTGCCTCATTGAAATCAGCTTAAACTCTAAAGTATCTCACCGTGAACATTTCCACCCGCGAAAATGTTCATTTTACAATAATACATGATTTTAATTCTTTGTAGATATTGTATTAATTGACTTACTAAATAATAATATATTGTTGAAAGTAACATATTTTGTATCATTATACTGTTTTATAATGTGTTTGGCAGACAAGGACAATTTAAATTGGTTTCACTAGGTGTCCATTTCAATTGTACGAATGTAATATTACAAGGTAATCAATTTACCAGTACAGGAATTCGCACAGTAGTCCTTCACGTCGCTAACCGGACATACACCGGATTAATTTGTATGTGTTGGCTCCATTAAACAACAATTGAACATATGTTATTCCATTTTATTTTTCTAGATGTATTTTGCGGACAAGAACTATTGAAAATGGTTTCAATCGCTGTCCGTTGTAATATTGCTGCTGCAATATCACAACATAATTAACTTACCAGTGCACGAATTTGAACACGAAGCATTCCCGTCGCCAATAGGGCCTACAAGGAAAGGAATTAGATAAAGTGTGTCTAATATACTACTATCTAGGTATGAGACTATGAAATGTTTACATCGCTGTTGAATTATGGTCACAATTTCTATACACGTGAATAGGATTCTATATCCCTCAAACCTTCATGTAACTGAAAAACTATATTCCTTCCACCTCTTACTCAGAAAATCGATATTAATCAGCATTAATACAAACGACTTGACTTCTCTTAGATTTTTCTTTTTTCTCTCATTTAGATGAGACGCTTCTTATGCTGATTAATATAATCTAATGCACCGTCTTGAAAATGCGTGTGGCTCAACCATCGCTTCCAAACGTCAGTGACCCGGAATGAAAACGTGATGAAATTGGACGCTGTCCAAAATTATAATTAACCTGGAGTAGTCTTGGTGAGATTATCGCATGCTCTCACAAAGCATGATGCAAACGATTTCGACGTTCCTATTGTGAATTTTCCCTTTCACGGTAGTAACATCCCTGCATCCACTACCTATGGTATTTACGTGTCGCAGTTGGTTCAGTATTCAAGAGACTGCTACAAATATTTGCCTTCCTTTATTCCGTCTTTGCGTATTGCAGAGTTATCTTCTCTTGTGAGCAGGTATTGATTGTTACGTCATTGGTTTGTGTGAGAAAATTACGTCGTTTTCTCAAAAGTCGATGACGTTACTCTCACAAACAAAGGACGTAACAATGCTCACAAGAGACGATAACTCTGCAATACGAAAAGACGGAATAGATATCGACTGATGACGGACAAACATACAAGGTTTTCAGAAAGTAGGTTGATATGAAAAATAAGGACCAGTTTTCTGATCGTCATCATGATCTCATAAGGAAATGCTATTTCTTTGTGTGATGTGAAGGTCGATGTTTGTTATTATTCTCATTTTATTTGTTGTCATTATCCGAATTATCGATGTAAGGACGTGACATTACTTGGGTTTTGTCTAGATGTACATAGCGAGTGTCGTCAATGAAGCAGAAGACGCTTACCCTTCCTGAACACCTGGTCTTATACTCCTTGTACTTTTCCAACGGTCTCCATATAAATCTTTCTTTTGCAAATATTTTGCCCTAGTTTTGTCGAACTTGAGAGGTCGAATTCAGGTTTGGTAACGCTTCGGTATTATCTTGTCGTTTTTCATCCAAGAGGCTACCCATCATGGTGATTTAAAATTTAATTGAATTTGAATATAAAACTAAACATAACTAAGTTTAGAATATTTTTAACGGGATAACATCAAACTATCGTTAAAATCGTTTTGTTGTGTATCCCAAAATCTCGTACTGTGACGTACGGAAACAGATGCTTTATAGCTTACCATCTGCTTTTTGAAAGTCAAATACCCTGGCCAAGTTCAAGAGGGACATCAAAACTCACCTCTTCACGTCTGCATTTTAAAATCTTTGCAAAGACGTCATGTAAATACCACTCTATTATTTGTTCAATTATGTGCACACTGCTTGCTTAAATGTATACAAAGTGATTGTAAGCCTTTGTTTTTTGTTTTCACAATTATAACCATTACTATCATCCATATGTTGTAAAGCGCTTTAGAGTAATTTTACAAATTATATAGGGCGCTATATAAATGTTGTATATTATCATTATTATTATTATTATTAATACCTACAGATTCAAATTCGTCTTAATAATATATTACTCACCTGCATATGCTAATGCAACGACCGTTGCCAAATAGGAAAACACCTTCAGCTTCATTGCAGTAGAAAGGATGCTAATTCACATGGTAATATTTACGAATGAAAGCACGTCCATAATGCATTGAATACACGTTACATATTTAGCTTTGTGTATTATTAGATATGAGAGTACAAAAGTCAAGAGCTGAAGTTGCTCAAACCCAATGCTTAGTTAGCTTACTGAAACACTGAAGCATGTATGCAGTGTGCAAAGTATTTTCTAAATTTGTTCAAATTATAATTAAAAAAAAAAAAACGCTTAAAAACAAGAGAAATATTTCTCAGGTTTAAAACATAAAAAAAATCCGTTTGAAATTGGAGTTTAACATTTCGTTAAGCTGATCATACATTGAACAATTTCGTCCAAAGTAGTGTAATTTATAAAAGGCTGGTTAGCTTAACATAGTTTTCAAAAGAAGTTTGAAGTAATTTAAAATTGATAAGTAGTTCAAACGTTGTGACGACTAAAGAATTTTTCTGTTGAATAATAAAAATTCAAAACGTGAAAAGAATTTCTGTTTCACTTATGAATATTCAATAGTACACATTTCGGTAAATATAAAACGAAGATAACGATGCTTTGAAAAAACCGAGTATACTATGAGGTATGTGATGAGGGTATTGACATAAATGTACACTCGGGATAGCCGTGTATGATAACGTTATTAGTATATATCTGCTTTCGTCGATCGCAACATCTCGGCTAATGCCGTCAAGGCTACGGTTGAATCAAATTGACTCCGAACTTTGGCGGAATAGGCCGAGACGTTGCGATTGCTATCACTACATCACACATTGCACGTGCACATTCATGACATTGTTGATCGACGATGTTTTTCACCTTTTAATTGTTATATGATAACATTGCGAATGGTACTATGTTTTAAAATATACGCCAACATATTCCGTCACGAAACGTGCAACGGTAAAAACGTTTACTTTAACTTTGCAAATTCGCGAATTTTGAAACACGCGAAAATAACCTGTTACTGTTAATCCGGAATACTTCGCAATATACATATATATAGTCTTGTCTCACTACGGGAGAAAGTCGATCAGGGAATCAAAGATTTGCGAGATGGCGGTCCTTAAATCTGACACTGCCAAATCGAACCAATACAAGGGTCGCAACTCTGTATAGCTTCTGTATCGTCAACATTAGCAGTAACAAAAATAACTCATTTCATATAGTCAAATTTTCTCAACAAGTCACTCCATTGACGCACAACCTCAACATGCAGTGGATATTCACGAAATAACTATTTTGTCGAGGCTATGGTATAAATATATGTACTGTGACTTTTGTTTATCGTTCGAATCTTCCTTCTTGTTCGACGGTGTACATGCCAGTTATAATCTTCCTTCTTGTTCGTGTATGTTTCAGAAGTCTTTCTGTGGTTAAAGTTTTCGTGAATCTAACAAACAATTGTTTCGGAAGTCTTGATTCTTCACGCGGTAATCTATATTTTGAAAGCAATTCGTGACACATCCTCGATATCCAGGGGCTACGCTCACTTTCGCTCTCTACACGCCTGGAATATGTCATATCAAAATTGAAGGAACGAAGATAGCTGTTTGATTTGTCTCAGGTAAACAAAACCTGACCAATCGCTACGCTGATACCTGTCCTTTGAAGATTACAAAGGAGCGACACTCGACTTCAAAGCCTGTCATTTTTTACCGTTACGCGACCGCGAGATTCTTTTGATGTACATCAAAGGACCGAACTAGTCTTCTTGTCTTATCAACAAGGTGGTGCACACTGAGCCTTCAATTTTGATATGACATATTCCAGGCGTGCAGCGGAAAGCGAAAGTGAACGAAACCCCGGGATATCGAGGATGTTCGTGATGCGATGTTATATTGCTGAAATAGGACCTATATTTGTCCTCTTCATCAGATTCTTGATATAACCAGTATATATTTTGCTGTTGTTTTCAATAGATGCTTTCACATCCACTAACACTGCGATTCGATTTACTGCCAGGTCCGCTGTGATGCAATGCGTCTTTGGATCTCTGCCAATTTTGTGGGTATTCTGGTTTCTCCGCCTTATTTTGGTGTACGTCTGCTGTCAATTAGACAATCTGATTAAAATACAGCTCCTCTCTACTATCGTATGAGGTACTGTATTTTAATCAGATTGTCAATTAGTCTGACTTTACCTATCCAATTCCGTTTTGTTCTTGTTTTTGATGATATTTCATCCTTTTCTGTAGACCCAAGATGATATTTCTCGTGTGTTAATTTTGTTACATTTTCCCAATAGTGTATATATATGAAACCCGCTATGGGTGTAATCAATTTTGTGCAAACAATATATTCAACATGTAGGCATCTGTAAATGCATTATGAACCTATAGTTATTAAAAACAGAAGAGGTATGAAAGTCTCTGTATCCTCAGCGAAAAGGATATTCATGGAATAGCCCACAGATAACCTGTAAATGATTGATACGATATCCTCGCGTTATATACATGTAGCTTCTAAACGGCACTGATGTAATTGTGTTACAGTCCTATAAAGGTAATTTCTTCTGGAAGTGGTAAACAAGAAAATTAAAAAACATCGATTCCGTTTGAGCTGGATTGAATGGGTTGCTCATAGCTGCGTTATCGAAGGAATGGGCCTGGCTTCCGTGTAAGTTTATATATTGTTCAAAATTTTGAAGTTTCTTTATATTATGTTTGTTGTTTTGTTAATTGCTTTGCAACTACCAATGGGCAACAACATGTTGAATTGAGTTGATAAAGGTATCTGCTTATTTGATCACAAAAGGCTAACTAAATGCTTTGGATTACTAAATCAAGTCGTTATAATTCGAAACTGAGCGGTTTTTGCGTGCGATATCTAAAAGAAAATTGATTGCGTTGATTTTATAAATCGATCGAGTTTCTAAACAATGTTATTGTAGATCCACATCATCGGGCAAAGCCTTCTCTTTAACACATTTTTTTTTATTAATAATTATAATATAACTAAAGAGGAATAGAAATTTAGGGAAGATACAACTCCCTACATACAAACCACAACTCACCGTTACCGCCTAAAGCATACATCGTAATCTCTTTCGCATCTCCGTTGTCATGGTGAGGCTGCAGCTCGCTTCTTTTAATTCAACGTTTTTATTCACTAGAATTTCCGCCAATTGTATAACCCGCCTCCTCGAGACTCGCATTTGTGACGTAATCATAATATAATCACGCCACTGAAGTTTTAATTTAAGGAATCTGTAAAACAATCTGTGTATTTTGTTTCAAATATATCAAACCAACAATATTGTTGATGCAGGTTTCATAGAGGGTTGGATGGTTATTTAAAACAGTGTGAATGAAAGAAGAATTCATTTCCAAATCCCTTCCTCCCTCTTCTTCTCAAAATCTATTTCGATGTTTTAAGTTTTTGACTATAGAAACTGAAATATAAATGTAATTTTTATAGAAATCTGACAGCCCTCTACCAAAGCTGGAGCTTGCTGCATCCACCAGTGCGTGTTGTAAGAGGCGACTTGTGTGGGAATCTTTTAATTTTCTTTTTTTGTTTTAAGTGTTCTACAAAGAAGACATTGAGGAAAAAAAATCTCCTGCACCATTGCACCACTTGTGATCTGAAGTTTTCTCTCTCTTATCTACACTTCCTAAACACCCGTCGTTATACGACCTCAGCTGTTATGGCGACAAGAAACCCCACCCTGTATCGCTCACCACACATTCACATCACAGCTGTGCTCTTAAAAGTTGGGTCAATGTAGCGTTTGCTTAAAGCAGGCCAATTGTTTGTACTCTTGAACAATGTTGCTTTTCAAGGAAATCACTCGGCGACTTCAAAAGGGGGTCAAGGTCAGTCATTGGAACAAACTTGATACCCTTCATCCAAGCACAATATTGACCAAATATCATGACCCTAGGCATATCGTTTATTCAGTGACAAAGGATTTAAAAGTTTGAAAGATATTTGAGCCATTTGACAATGAATGTGGGTCAAGGTCATCATTAAAAGGATATAAAAGTTTTAACACATTCGACCTATGTGACCTTGAAAGTGGTTAAGATCAATTATTTGAATGAACTTCATAGCCCTTAATATTAGCATAATACTGGCCAAATATCATCAACTTTTGCCTTTTTGTTATGCAAGTTATTCAGGAAATGTTTGGTTTTTGCACATTTGACTGTGACCTTGAAAGTGGGTCATTAAAAGGATTTAACACATTCGACCTATGTGACCTTGAAAGTGGTGTTAAGATCAATTACTTGAATGGACTTGTTGATAGCCTTTAATATCAGCATGCTACTGGCCAAATAGCATCACATTTTGCCTTTTGGTCATTCACTTATTCAGAAAATGTTTGGTTTTCACACATTTGACTGTGACATTGAAAGGGGGTCAAGGTCGGTCATTTGAATTAGCTTCAAACCCTTTAATCACAGCATGCTATTGGCCTACTATTGTTGCCCTAGACTTACTGTTCTCTTCCTTACTCAGCGGCATTAATATTATGTCTTCATTATCACTCTCCAGGTTAGTATTGGCACCAACACAATTGTCATTCCTCGTGTTTTGTGAACCAATCAGCGCAGTATCCATCTGTAAATCAGCACTTCCCACTGTAGTCTATAGCCCTTCATCGCAACATGCTACTGGCAAAATATCACAACCTTAGGTCTCTTGGCTATTGAGGAGTTGTTAGCTTATTGGCTTTAATACATTCGACATCCCAACATTTCATTGGACAAATACCATCATCCTAATTATAAATTCCTTGGTTATTAAGAAATAACCATATGAATGTTTCAGCACATGAAAAAACTTGATTAACTCATTCACCCCTGAAGTTTCATAATGAATTATTCCAACCTTTCAATTGGAAGAGTTCAAATGTGTCTTCAGGGGTGAATGAGTTAAACCTTAACAGACTTTAGGACAAATAACATGAATTTGGCACCTTAGTTACAAGGCTTTAACACATTTTGACCCTTGCTTAAAGGATTTAAAGGTTTTAACACATTTGACCTCTGTGACCTTGAAATTTGTTCAAGGTCAA